ATCGAGGAAGAAGATAAAAACCTTTCACCTCACAACATGGCCGCACCACACTCATCAACAGATCGACAGTGAACTGAGTACCACACCACCAGTGCTGGAGATGCATTCTTCGTCATACCGGGGGATGATCTGCTGACTCACTGCTGCAGCAACAACGTTCACGACTACGACTGACGACGATTGTTGCTGCGTAGTGCTCTACCGTATCGTCCATGACTACGGCCATCGGAGCTAACGTCTGTCACCTGCACCACCGCATACAAGAGCGGCGACCGCACCACAACGACCGACCACGACAAACACACCTCTATGATGTCAACAAATCATCGGCGCAGCGGGCGGCGGGTTTAATGCCAAGATTCGCCAATCGGAAGACGAGCCAACGATTCACTCTGGCACATGACCGACGGGGAAACGGCCGAACGGCGTCGAGTGATGAACCCGTGGGAAAGCAGGGGCATCGGGAGGAGAGGCGAGGCGAGGCGAGGCGAAGAGAGGTGGCACGCGCGCCCTTCCTCCCTCCGCTCACCGCGACCATACCTCTTCGGAGCTAGGAACAGTGAATGCGGCAGCAACGGAGGGATAAACAGAAGGGGACATATGGTGAGCATCAAGCCGGCCAGCGACCGGTGGCCCTAACCGTTAGAGTTCGTCGAGCAACACAGCCACAGCACCGCACTGTAAGAGCACACGTGTTTACACTAGTGCAACTAACACGCGCGCGATCATCGCTTCGCCATGGATCGTAAATAACCAGCCAGCGACAGGAGAGCACAGCATAACGCTGGCGACCAGGCAGGCATAGCAAAGCAGAGCAAAGAAAATCACCACCCTTCGCCTTGCGTCCTACAGTCGTCGTCGGTTTGGTCGGTCGGTCGGTCGGTCGGTCGGTCAGTCAGTCAGTCAGTCGACGCCGATGACGGTTAGATGACAAACGCAGAGTCAACACGGCCGCCGTTTCCCAGCTTGAACTTGGCTGACTCAACAACAGCTGCAAACGGACCGACGACAGTGCACTGGAGGGGGACACGACACGGTTGAGGGGGCCGAGGAGCAACGACCGGATTTACTGTCCCTTGATCGTTGCCTCTCGCCCCCCCCCTGCCGTCACCCCGAAGCGCCAAACGTCTGTGGTCACCACATCACGCAATGCAGCTGAAGTGCAAAATACAAAAACGCAGTTCACAGTTTACAATGAATCCGAACGCGCAATTCGCAATACGGAAACAGCACTGAGTGACGACATCCGGTGACATCGTGTGACGGCACAACCTCAGGGTCGAACGGGTTGTTCCCTGACTGCGGCCATCACCGGCTACGCAACCTCCTCATCTCGTAACCTAAACAGCAATTATACGATTATCTATCTCCAGAGGCAATAACGACGGTATAAGAAACGGTAGTAGTCGTTCAGCTCTAGCAAAGTTTTGCAAATACTTCTCTCCTTTCAAATACCTTCATTTAATGGTTGGATTCAGTGACATGTTTACATTACATTAAGTAACGAACAGTATTTGCAGTAGTTCGAAGCCAATATTCGACAAGCAACCACAAATAAAAGTTTGGACTCCAAAAAGAGACTAAACGACCTTCAGACTGATTTGGATAAGAATCACAAAGCACAGAAGTTAATAGCAAAGTATTGAGGAGGCCTTCGTACAGCAGTGGATCGAAAGAGGCTGATGATGAGTACTTTGCATAGATCTGCGGATCGAGAATTTTGGTCATGAATTGGTGATAACGCTGAAATGCACCACAAAATAGTTTTCTTACACATAACCCAATTAACAGATATATCAGGTGACAGACCGATACATCATACATCGCACGCCACGGTCAATTTAACCATACATCTCTTTAAGGTGTTGCGTTAGTCCATATAAGTTTATTTAAATATGTACCTTGGCAGAAAAGAAAATTCTTTACGTAATATTATCTTTCATTCGCAGGAAGACTTAAATGATGCTATCTGAAGCATCGGCTGTACAACGTGCAATTCGTCTTTACCCACTTGATAACTGAATAAATCCTTGAACTTAAAATAAACAAAAAATATCTGTCCTCATTCATTTACAGGACAGCGATATGAATGTAATTTTGGAAGTACCACTATGCCAGGTATTCTTTATCTCGTTAAAACGGCACATTCCTCGTCATACAGAATTACATTGTATTCCTGCAACGAATCGACACATGCCCACCAGTCATCGAGGTTTCGAGCCTCGTCACTTTTTGGTCAGACTTTTTTGGCTACTGATATGATTTTTCCAAGTCGCGGAGGGCGACCAAGCGGTGTACCGCCCACGCGAGGACACCAGTCGACGATCAACGCAGACCACCTCCCGTCGGTCAGCTGAGCTACATGTCCGGCCCATGGTAGCTTCTCCTCATTGCTTTCGATGACGACGTCCTTCGCTGCCGTCCACTGTCTGATCACTACCATAAAACATTGTCGACAGAAACGTAAGCATTATTCGTGGTTCTTGCCGATCAGAGGCCATGTGCCACTCAGAGAGTACACGGCCATAGTCATAATAAGTCTTTATAATTCACCTTTCGATGCAAAATGGAACCTACAAAATTTTGCTACCTGCCAGAGTATGGCATCGGAATCCTATTTTAGGAATCCAAGGTACAACTACTTACGACTGTTACGATTTTCACGTAAATCTAAGGCGATTGTGGTATATTACATGTCGTACCGTCACCTGAAATACCTCATTACTGTGCACTTTTTCTGCGCGACTGCAAACATAATAATACCAACATAATTCTCGATCCACAGATCAATCTAAAGTACCATGACGCATAAATTCGATGAAAAATTTTATCATGCTTCCACAGAAAATTAATGCTCTCGGTGGCTGACTCTCAATCCTTCCGTCGGAATTTGCACTCTGTGTCTACTTCCTATAAAAAGGAAACTCTATCAACACCAAATCCACAGCTTTTCCCGCGGACCATCTCGAAGCAGCTCATAATTTATGATAGAACTTCATGGCTGCAGTAATGGTTAAGGGTTTAATAATGACCATAAAAACTTACGAAACTCTTCGTCACGTTACAGACCTGTCTGGAAACAAGATGAACATTTTCGACATGGCAAGAACGGTGTTATTCCAAGCAGAATAAACAAAGCAATGCTAACTGAGTTGAAACAGCTACGAACAATGGCAACAAATGTAATCGTAAGATCGGCTCTTTAATCGTCAAGAACAGAGAAAAATGAGTGCCCTTTTGATTTGATCCTCATAATATTATCAAATAATGGAAACGTAATCCATATGATGGTTTATTCTAATTCTAATTAATTCTAATAACTCTAACGTATATAATGGTTTATTGATGTTGTCTGTGCGGACTGCGAGAGTTGCGATGGATGAACGACAGTTCATTTCTGAAAATTCAACGGTTGGTTAATGAAAGGATATCCTTGACCACTGAACCAACGTTCTAAATAGCTGTAAATGGAACGGTAGTTGCGAACGTGTTCACTGGGCCGAAACTTCGCTTCGTACCGCTAACCACTGAATTGAATCAAATAGCCGCACTATTGGTAACTAGTAATTTTTCCCTTTCTTGTACCTCAACAATAAAGTCCTCATTGACGTGAACTGTGCCAAATACCACATAATTTGCTGAATTTAACTTTAGTAATGAGCTCAATTAACTGCCAGTTTGGTCGATCTCCTTCAAGATGTTGGGTTTCAAGCATTTTTTGGCTGTCGGTCTGTTCTACGTCTTCCTACCTCATCAGCTACCCGGCTACAGGGGTGGGGGCGCCATAAGTTTCCTTGTTGTTCACAAAACCGCAAACTTTATCTTTTTCTATTCAG